CTGTTCCTGATAACTACACGTAATAATACCAGCCTTCTGCCTCTTTTGTATTTCATTTTTCATAATCCACGTTTATCCATGCATTAGCAGAAGACACTCATATCAACACACAAAAAAAATGAAACTAAAGAGAAAAACACACACACACACATAATTTAAAAAAAATATGTTTTCACACACTCACAAAAGAAATCTGAAATTATGACTTTACCCTGATGTTGGGATTGTCTGGCCTGCAAAGGGCTGGAAACAATTCCTTCAACTTTTCCTTCTCCGATTTGGGTTTGACAACCGTCTCTGATTTTGAGATTTAAAACAAAAACACAAAACAAAACACACACAAAGCTTAGAAGAGCTAGACCGAGTCACTCTAGATTTTTCTGTAATTGAATATGAAGTTTAAATTTCATCTGAACGCAAAGGCTGATACAGATTTTACAGATTCAATTCAAAGATTACAATCTTATATTCCTACAAATAAAATTCTGATTATTTGTGAATCTGTGAAATATAAAAATACTCTATGTAATGTATTCAGTCTGTTATTAATGTTTAAACAGCTTTGCAAATCTACCACTAACAACAGTGAGACTCCCACTGCAACAGTAAGATACAAAGTCTTGCCTTACAAGACTAAAACAAAACTACATCAATCTCACTGAAGGCAACCTAAAACTACAAAAGACTAAGAGTTCTGTGTTTCTTATTACACTGAACTAATAAAAGGGATAATATTATGCATACCTTTGCTCGTAGATGGTTTTGGTGGAGGCCGCATTGTCTGTATGAGACGTAGCAAATTACTAATAAGGGAATCCTGAAAAGTTTAAGAAAATACTTTAAGAAATGACTGCGATGCTGTTTTTCATTATTAGAAGGCACAAGTGAGGGTTTATTAAAACCACTCGATTCTGAAGATACAGGTTCCTTTTTAGAAACTATCGCTGGACTTCATGTACATTCTAAAAGATAGAATAAGTTGAATACGAAAATAATTATGATAATTCTATTTAAATGACTTTTCTGTTTGTCATTTTTAGTCACCTATTTAATCCAACCACAGTTATTTCTGAGGAACTCATGAACCCAGCATCTAAATATCGTAAAAAGACTTACAACATTTGCTTTCATGAAAAGTTGTTTCTTCCATATTTTATATGCTCAACAAGACAACGAGCAGTTCAAGTCCTCGGAAGCATGCTTTGCAAAGGCTACAAAAGTTTAAAAAAAAAAAAGAACAGGAGCGAGAGGGAGGCTTAGCTTGATGAGACAGGAACACTCAGAAGCTAATTAATGCACAGTTTTCCAACTGAAGAAAAAACATAGTCACTCATCGCATCTCTCTCTTTAAAACAAAAAGCTCTGTAAAATATACCAGGACAAGACAAACATGTAAATAACGTTCAGATATGACTTACAGTGAACTCAGCACCATTCTTTAAAAGAACTGCTTTAAATGTGTCAAATGTAGTATTTTTCTCAGCAAGACTTATCACAAATTCGGCTGCGAAGAAAAAGCAGAAAGTAAATTAGAACACATAATAAAAAGGCAGTATAAATACTCCCTATTTGGATAAAAGCTGTTGCCCCGGCAATGCAGTGACCTGCTAGGTCTATCCACCTACGCAAAAGCTGCAACGCTGCTCGCAACAGCAGCGGCTCCCTCTCCCAGTCCTTCTGTAGGGGCCCAGATCGAAGCATTTTCTCACGCTCACAAGGTTTTTGAAGAAAAAAAATTGGAAAAAAAAAAAAGGATTTTTCTTTTCTGAATTCGAAAAGCCCCTTCGTAAAACTGGTCCTGGCCAACAGGAACAGCTCCAACAGTCTTTCCCACAGCTGCCG